CTAAAAAGTTTTATTGACTGCCGCTTTAGAGGTACCGGCAACTTCTTTGCATTGTATATTGTCCACTGACCCCGAAGTACAAAGCCGCTACAGACAGCAAGCACCGCGCAAAATATAGTGAAGCGTATTTTAAAGTACCATATTGCGCTTTGTGGACTCTGCGAACAATACAGCAAAAACTGGACATCGGTTTATACATTTTCCCTAACTTGACGCCTATTTTGTTTTGCTTTCTCCCTAACTTGATGAACACAAAGTTTCAGTGCCGGTTTAGTCTCCAGGATAATCACATTCAACCACATTGTTAGGTTTGCTGACAGTTTTCTAGCTGCAAAAAAGAAGAAAAAAAAAAAGAAATAAAACGAATTGACTTATTTCCAAGAGGCGTTTTGAATGTATATCATACGAGGGTGATTCAATAAATAAGGTGAATATTTTTGTATAAGGACTTCTAATACAGATAGAAGCTTACTTTTTTTTTTTTTTTCTACGTAGTCTCCCAGCACTCTCACACACTTTTCCCATCTGTGCACAAGCTTCCTTATTCCCTCAGCGTAAAAATCTTTAGACTGATGTCTCAGCCAGTCGCTCACAACACTTTTGACTTCATCGTCACTTTCAAACTTCGTGCCTCTCGTGAACGCTTTCAAGGGACCAAACAGGTGAAAGTCCGAAGGGGCAAGGTCTGGGCTATAAGGGGGATGAGGGAGCAGTTCCCAGCCGAGCTCGTTGATGGTCTGCACCGTTAAGGCTGCTGTGTGAGGCCTTGCGTTGTCATGATGCAAGATGACTCCTTTTGACTGATGACCTCTGCGTTTGTTCTTCATGTCTTTCTTGACCTGCCTCAGCAGTTCACAGTAGTCGGCACTGTTCACAGTGCTTTTTTCAAGGAATGAAATTGTGATTGGGCCTTGCATATCCCAAAAAACGGTGAGCATCACCTTCCTAGTGGACCGCTGGGACTTGAACTTCTTCTTCACTGGAGAGCCTGCGTGCTTCCACTCCATGGACTGTCGTTTAGACTCAGGCTCATAGTGCCAAACCCATGTCTCGTCAGATGTGACCACCTTCTGCAGAAACTCATCACCATCCTTCTCATAGCGGGAAAGACACTGCTGGGACAACTCGACCCTCCTCTGTTTGTGCTCCGCAGTAAGCATCTTTGGCACCCACCTGCTGCTGACCTTCGAGTAGCCAAGGTCATCATGGACAATTTTGTGTGCTGTCCCCACAGATAAGCTCAAAGTCCTTGCAATGCCATCCAGTGTCACCCTTCTGTCAGACTGAATGAGGTCATTGACTGATTCGATCACCTCAGGAGATCTCACTTCTGTAGGCCTCCCAGGCCTGTCTTCATCCTCAACACTGCTCCGTCCTTCTTTAAACAATTTAGCCCACTTGTAGACATTTTTCTGGCTGAAACATGTGGCACCATACACAGTTGACATTCTCCTATGAATTTCAACGGGTCTGCACCCTTCAGCAACCAAAAACTTGATAACTGACCGCTGTTCAATCCTGGAGCATGCTTCTTGGTCAGCCATCTTTGTTACTCGGTTAAATTCTCACAGTGTTGTTTGTAATCTGCATAAGAAATTAAATCCACGTGGAAAAGTAGTAAAACAATAAAAATAACTAAAAAGTAAGCTTCTATGTGTATTAGAAGTCCTTATACAAAAAAATTCACCTTATTTATTGAATCACCCTCGTATAAAACGCCTTTGCTCACGTCTGCCCGAAACCACAGTCCGTCGAACACATCTCACCGAGCGGATTGTCCATTTACTGGTGATTAATTACTACCGAAAACTCGCTTTTACGTAAAAAAAAAAAGTTTTTCGGCAATTCGAATGACTTCCTGCGGTGCCTCATTGTCCATTAGTATTTGCGACCTGTGCGCCAGTTTGCTACGTTTCAAAGTAATAAAGGTTGCTAATTGCGCGTTTGCGAACGCCGTTGGTCGCTTTTGTAGAACCAGCTCCTTGTGAATTTAATCAGAAACTGCTGCCATTGTTTTTCGTATGTCTTCACCAGAACCACGATTCTCATACAATTCATTGTTTCGAGTTATTTTTTCTGAAGAATCTCCATGCGTGCTTTAGTATGAATTCCCTGGCCACGCCGTCTAGTATACATAAGGCTTGTATTAACTTTCCAATTTAAAAAAAAACTTTTTTTCTTTGTAGTTATAGGCAAGCAAGCAATTCTTCCCCTATGTTGGAACAATATAATGGTTTCGTATAACGTTAGTAAAATATGACACGGTGAAATTAGTAAAATAAGAAAGGGTGTATTTAAGCGTGCATTGTTGTTCAGCTAAAACATTTACACGTGAATCTGAGTAGGTTGGTCTCTCCACGTATAAGAGCTCAGACGCCCACAACTGGAGCGTACATGATGACTGCAATGTCCAAATGAGTATCGTTGTGGCATGTGATTGAAAGATCTTTAAGGTATGTCTCCTGACATTGTGGCCTGCAGCGGACTTGCGAAAAGGACAGTGAATCTTTGTTCCGTCTTGCCTTCTTTGATCACCACGCATGCAATGATCATGAAACGGTCACATTTTGGGTATGGGCACGCAGTGTGTGGCGCCATCAAGCAATAATGGTATAGTTGTTATATTTTCGCTCTCTCTCCTGGCTATATGCGGACTTCGAATTTTCGCAATAGTAGCATTTTCTGGTTACAGTTTTTCGGAAAACTCCTCGACTGTTACGTGTGCGCGCGAACCAACGACATCGTTGTCCGATTCTTTGATGCAGGCTAAAGAATGGGCGTGGAAGGAAAGGGAAAGCTCAAAGGCGTCTGGAAATATATGTGCAAGCATCAGCTGACGTAGTAATAATGATATAAGTAATCGGATGGACAAAGAAAGAATGTCAGACAGTTCTCCAACACAATTACAGAATTTGATGTTTTGAAACTCTCATCAATTAGGCAGTTTCTTTGTTCTGACGGAACTGGTCTATCAGTACGAGACCAAGTCTTGCGTCGCGTCGGACAAAGTACCTCGTTACTGTTCACCGCTTTTTACAATTAACGGTAACAAACACGAATACCGAAGTATGTTCTGCGAGAACATGGCGCCTTCCAGTTCATTCTGCTTCTGTGAGTGCACTGTCACGCCTGCTGGTGCCGTAACGACATCGTTACGGCAGGCGATTTTTACCCGGTAATGTTACATCAAACAATAACTAAGAACACTTACCTCCTTTTAGAGGCAACCGCGAACATTCGATGATGCAGCAGGTGACTCTTGTGCAGTCATGATCGTTTCATCCTTTCGTTCGCGCCACCCATGGTACCAGGAGCCTACGCAGAAGTGCAAGTCATTCTGCCACTATGATGCTGTACGAAAATGGTTCGTTGGCGCCTGGATGCGTGTTGCCTGTCGATTGCTACCACTCTGTGGCCGAGTGAAGATCTTTTTCGAGCGGATGTAGATTACTCTTTGATGTTATTTGTTTCGACAACGTCCCAGCGCGGAGGAAGCCGGAAGTCGTGCTGTTCCCGCATCCGCCGTCGACTTCCGCTTGTCCTCCTCTCAGTGCGTCCAGCGTATAGAACTGAGTCGTCCTTTCGGTCACATCATAAAAATAAAACACACAGAAAAAATTTGAAAACAGCTCTTTCTAACAAAAGCCTTCCTCGCTTCTTTGTTGGTGTGTTTGTGTGTGCGCGTTTGTGATTGAGCTACGTCTTTGTTTGTCCCACGGGCTAGATCAAAGTGCCACAAAAGTTTCATATTTGTGTTTCGTTCTTTGGTTGTTTGTGTGTGCCATGTTCGGGCTCCGTAGTAGCAGACGACAAAAATGAATCAAAGCAGACGACGCCCGCACGCGATGCTGTGCAGTCTGCTTTTTTTGTTTGGTGTTTCGTACCTCTCTATTAATTGCAGTTTCGCTTTCAGAGCACCGCGTACCGAGCGAATAGAAATCTGCATTTATTATTGCGTATTCAAAACAATACTTAAAAAACAAACAAGTATTCATCTCAAGTAAAATATGAAGTGGTTCCCTCTCACGCGTGAAAAGCAATAATCAAAATCGTAGTGCAATCAGCTCATCTGGGGAACAACTTGAGTGGTCTTGTTCGTTTAATCTCGTCAGTTTGTTGTACCCCGCGGAATATGTGAGCTGAAGCACCCAATCCGGCTTTTTTCTTCGTCTGCGGTCTCCACTAGCTCTATTATTTCTCAATTTTCCAAATAGTCGAAAGAATTTGACATAAACTTCGTATTCAATCCCTGGTCCGAACCACAAACTTTTCAAGATACTGACATGTATGCCAAAGAAACATGAAAGACTGCTGCAGCTTATATTGTCCGCGATAGTACATATGAATACATCGGTAAGGTGGACCTCTTTCTCGAAGCGCCAAATATAGCCCCTGTAGTTCAGAAGTTTAGCCATTAGCCAATGAGTGCTAACCCTGACTTTTTAAGGCGCATTGTGAGGCTGATGACATGAACGCACGCCAGTACGATATGATAATCAAGCTCGAAACTGGCCAGAGAGCGAAAACTTTGCAGGACATGTTTTCGCTCAACGTGCTCGGAGTTGCGTTGCGCTTGCACATATACTCCACCGATGTCCTTCCCTACTTATTCGCTACTTCGCTATTCTGCGAGAAAGCGCCAATTGCCGTATTTGCACTTTGTCGTGCAGTGCCTTCGGGTGCGGGTACAGTAAGGTACACTCAACGAGCAGTTATCATATCTACAAGTAATACTAAATTTATTGCTGTTTTTTTTTTTTAATTCACGATCGCTGGTTTGTTTTGGTGGAATGTTTAGCCGAGATTTTGGTCAAAAGATTCAATAATCTCGTCGTGATGTGTTATAGATACTTTCTATCAAATTTAACTTAAATTTGTTCGTTTTCAGTCAGAAAAAAAGAATCGTAGTTCCCGATTAAAAAATTGCCCCAGAAGAGCAAAACAAAATTGTAAATACATTTTTTTTAAAGTATAGCTTTGCACTGCACCGGACAGAGGGGTCGAGGTTTAATCAAATATTTATTTCAGAAAAAAGGTAAAAGTTCGCTAGATGCCAACAAAAAGATCCGGAGATTCTTGGAGCAGTCAATGATGAGTAGATCGGGTCTGCGCATTCCGACATCGTAGCTTCCCAGACGCCATCTTTCTGTGCGTCTTTTTGCTTACTAGAGGTTTCCTCTCATCTGTTGGTCCATCTCGATGGCTTCGAAGAGGGCCTTGAAGTTTCCAGCACCGAAGCCCTGGGACAAAATAGAAATAAAAATGACGTATTTAAAGCGACTCCTTGTTTACAAACAAACACGTTTGCCTCCAAAATCTCTGAACCCCCCTCCCCCCCCCCCCTCTCTCCCCCCCCCCCCCCCCCCCCCTGAGCGAAACATCCGCGCGCGCCTCTTGCTTGTGACGTCATACACATGGCCTAGTGTATACAAACTAAGCGTTGCAGGCAGTAACAGAATAGAGGCGCCGCTGCTTCGTAACACTGCGAAACGATTTCAATGCAATTTTAGTATAAAATGACAATAAAATTAAACAAAAATGGATGAGTGGAAGACTGCGTTTGAGTATCGTCTGGTGGGGTAAGTAAGGGAAGTCAGCTTCTGCCTTCTTCCCCAAAGAGCAGCCATTCAGCTACATCTACCACCGTACCGTACTGGTACAGCGGTACGGTACGGTAAAGTACGGCGGTAGTAGCGGTACCACCGGAGTCTTTGAAGCATACTTTTAAGCGCGAGCCCCGCAGTCACGGTATTACCCGGGCGCGCGCTTAAAGGTACACAACCCGCCCCCCCCCCCCCCCCCCCCCCCACCACAATTTTTGTATTTTTTTTTGTCAGGCGAATTAAATCAATATTTTTCTACAGCGTCACTTGTATTTATATTATATTAAAAAAAAAAAAAAAAAAAAAAAAAACGCAACTGCTCGAAATCGAAACGAAAACTGGATTGGGGAGGACAAAGAAATGTAGAGGAGGGGAGAGTTACCGAAAGTCACGTGGCTACACCCGACTGCGTTTTCTTTTTTTTCTTCTTCGTCGTTTTGGTTGTGCGAAGCAGTCAAAAAACGTGCACATCGAAATTCGCACGAAAAACGGAAAAGTCAAGCACTTAGGACGCTGTAGAAATTACAGAGAAGATGCAAGTGAACTGGTGAACTTTCAACATTGTAAAACCCAAAACGTAAAACAAAACAACAAAAAAAAGAAGAAAAAAAAAACAGAAAAAGGGGACACACTGGTCCCCCTTTTCGACCATCGCGGAAAAAAAGCGACGCGTTTCGAGCAGTCACTATAGCTGACCAGACTTTTTGCGATGCGATCTAGTCGTGGAGCGGCTGAGCCAATCAGCGGCGTTCCGAGCAGGGCCTCCGAGAACCGACTCGCTCATCGCGCACGCCAGTGTGACCATCTGATTTTTTTTGTGATGCGATCTAGTCGCATCGCGCGAGTGCTTTACATCGCTGGTGTGAACGCACCTTTAGTACTTGACGTTTGCGCGTTTTTCAAGCTCTTACCAATTCGTGTTAGTAAGACGAGCAATGTCTTCAGCTTGGAGAAGGGGCGACGATTCGAGGGCGTGCGAATCAGCTTGGTGGTCGGGCGTGAGTACGAAATAAATACAAAAATTGCTTTGATCGGTAAACTATTTTTCTTTCGAAGCTAGACAGATTCGCCGGCATTCCGCGAACAGGTCTGAAGTAGAAATGCCCCCGCCCGTCGCCACAAAAAAAAAAAAGTATAATATTTTTTTAAAATTATTATTGAGTGTGTGCCTTCGATGACCCACGACTTTGATTATATTTGGTGTGTGTCTAAACCATCGAGAACGGCACGTGACCACGGAGAAGGGAGTGAGCGCGACTCAAACCGGCCAGTTCTCGACCGGCGGTTTGCGGGCAAAAAGAAAACGAATTTTGAGCTGGAAATTGTGTTCTGGGTAGTGGGGGCTCATATGTCATGTCGAAATAGAATCCTTGGCGAGCTCAAATACCCTGTTACTGCCTCTTTAAAAGCATGCTTGAAAGACTCCGGTAGTGCAATACGCTGAACACGGTAACGGTTTGCTAAAAGTCCCCCAATAAGGGGACCACACTGAACTGGCAACCAATCAGTTAGTTCGCTGTAGCAAATAGTAGCCGCGAATGTCACGAACTGCAACTGGCAACCAATTAGCAAGCCCGTCGCCTACCAGCAGCGAATTAGAGACGACCTTTCCAACATGGCGTTTCGAGAACACGTCGTTCGCACTGTGTGTTGTAAAGAACTGAAAGTGCCAGGAAGACAGGGACATGTGAAAAAAAGACACCGCAGTACGCTACTAACAACTGACGGTTATTGAATAAAGCATACACCATTTAATCCTGCATTTCAAAATGCCGTCAGAATCGTCTTTGTTCTCTTCGATAAACAAAAGTTGCGTACGACATTGTGGTGCTGAGTTCTTCACTTGTCGTCGTCTTCGCACTTCAAGTTGTTTGAAGCTGTACCGGCTAGCCAATTTTTCCGTATTGGTGCTGTACTTAATACAGCAGCAGCCGTGCAGAAAGACCCGTAAAATAGTGTGGCTCGTATCTATGTGCGCGTAAACAGTCTCCGGTTCTGGAAGAGAAATGCAAGTGCTCGCTCCCACTGACCGAGTGGTTGTGCCTTTGGATGACCTCCAGGAAGACGGTGGGCCTGTCCTGCATGTTCTTGGTGAAGATCTGCAGCAGGTAGCCATTGTCGTCGTAGTCGATCAGGATCTTCAACTTTTGCAGCTGTTGGAATGCGGACAGATAGAACAGATGAACGGGACGTGACGTAAGGTATGTAGTCTTCAAACATATCTAGAGCGCGGATCGCCTGTTTGTTGGTCTGGTTCGGGGAAGGTAATTAGTGAGTCCTTTTCAAAGTTAAGTGCCATCTGGCGGCTCAAAAAGCAGTTTTACTTTCGACGAACTTTTTACTTTAGACAAACTAATGTATTTCATCGGGCACCGTCACTTTCGCAAGTCCATGGCAGACAAGAACTGGAGTTTTGGTCACCTGAATTGTTTCTTCACTTTTTTTAGTTCGCATGATGTGACCTGAAGCACTGACCATGCAAAGCGCGATTAAAGTTCCGCCATAAAAATGCTTTGGAGTTCAACTTGTGACAAGAGGTTGATTGAGCCATACTTTGAAATAAACGCTTACGCAGGCGTTGTCTCTATACTCTGCTTCATATGTCATGTTGTTCTGAAGTCTCGAACGTACAGGCCCCTATGTCTTCCGCTTGGAAGATCTTCAGCGTCCTCGTTTATCATCCTGAAGGCTGCCATTAGTTTGGCACGAATGCGATACACTGAGTTCGCTCTGTGGAACCGAGGGATCCTGGGTTCAATCCCCATCCCTTCCCGTTTCAATCTGGATGAGCATCGTACCGGCGTGCGGTCGTGTATCACCACTGCGCAGTGTTGGCGGGAACGCGTTGCAAGTAACGGCGTTACCGGTAACGCGTTACGTGTTCCGGTAACGTTGTAACGCACTTGTTACATTTTCAAAACGGTAACGGGTAACGCACTTACGCGACTTATTTCGACAAACGAGCAACGTAGTTACGTTTCTAGTTACATATTCTTTACGGGACTTAAAAAGATTACACTTAAATTTGTTTCGTGTTTCAAGGCGCCAAGTTATGTAAATTTTGAGGTCTTTGCGTGTTTTTATTTTCCGTTTCTTCTCGTGAGTATTTAGGTTGAACCGCAAAAAGACAAGGTAATTATGTTCAGTTTCTAAATAGACATCATTTTTCTTAAAATACGGCGCTTATGCGTGCCTGCAACGTCAAAAGAGTAAAACATATTTTTTCATAATTTAATAAAGTAACGCAGACGTAATGTGCGTTACTTTTTAATGGTAACGTCTTCCTTTTATTTTGAGTTAACGTAGGTCGGCAACGCGTTACTTTTATTTGCAAGTAACGAGTAAGGTATTTAGTTACTTTTTTCAGTAACTCCTACAACACTGCAACCGCTTGATGCACTTTAAAGAGCCCAGGCTAGCAGGCGTACTACGCTGGCGAAATTTCTCATCTACAGTGGGTAACCATGTCACCATACTCTGGCAGACTAAACTGCCTCTGTCTATACAACTAACGACTATATTTTTTTTTGCCATGCACTGATATGACGTTAGGGGTCAAAGTTGCCAGTCTGAATTTTAAAAAAAAAATGGTCTATCGGTATTCCGGGTGAATAGTAATGCAGTTTTGGCAAGTAGATCCAACCATCGCGCCCCTAGTTTCTAAATTGAGAACTACACTGACGGGGACAACAGCAACATAGATGATATGGTTGCGTTTTGACGCAGCGCTCGACCCACGTAGCCAAACGTTGTGTCAGCGTTTGGCTGAGGCTCGTGTTCAATCCGTGAAGCCGAACGCGGACGCAGCAAATAATTGGTCAAGAGTCCTGCCCAATCTCGGCCCTTTGCTCAGTCGAGAAAGATGAAGTAAAAACCATATGGTTCGATCTCTTCACCTTATCCTACGACGTTGACAAAAGCAATGTACTACACCTACCGCATTCAGGTCCTCGGAGACTGTGATCTTGGCGGTCTTGAGCTTCTCCCTGAGTTGCACGTAGTACTCGTCCGGAGTGTCCAGGAACTCCATGCCACGTTCCCGGAGCGCAGTGATCTGTAATCATGACATCATCGGAAATGCATTCTTAGTGGGAACATCTAGCGATAAACAGGGGCATGTCAAAGAATGTGCCCGATACATACCGCAGCTATGATGTCGCTGGTGTTGAGAGCAATGTGCTGAACACCGGGTCCGCCGTAGTAGTCCACATACTCCTGCGAGGTGGAAATGTCCTTAAACTTCTGTACTGCTGAAATATCATTGCATTGGCATTAAGAAGTCATTGAGATCATGTTGTTTTAAAAACGGCCTGTTTGGTCTAGGCAGTTAAAGTTCAGTGGACAACGAACTAGCAACATCACATTTCCTCTTTTCTTCATCTCTACGGTATAGTGGAAATGGACTCTTCTGCCATAACAGAGGAGTCGAAGATTCAAGACAGTAACAAAGCCTGCCTACATATGGTTTACTACCTCTATTTCGCTCTGCTGATATAATGGTCACATTTCTGGCTTTCCCCATCCAGGCGATGAATGCACAGTCACTGGGCTGTGACGCGTGTACGGTGTCCTATGCTATTTCGCAAAAGATTAAACTACTGAGTATTTTCAAAACTAGACCCGCATCCGAGTGGACAAAGATGGCAACCCGCAAAAGGCGATCATATGGGTTGACGAAACGAAGCTGCATATAACTGTGACCAGAAGGTTCCTGGAGGTGAAAAGGCACGAAGGTAACAAAAACTAGTCAAAACTAGTAAAAAAAAAAAAAATTTGAAAAGACGAGAACTTTCCGAAATCTTCAAAATGACATGTTACGTACCATTAAAGTAACGTGTTCAGTGTTCACCTGATACGATGTCAATGCTCGATTAGCTCTCATGGCTTGGCGACCTAAATGTACACACATCATAATGAACAGCGTACGCGTATTCAGAACCTTGGCCTCAGATAGCACGGATGTTCTATGTACTATCACGATCCATATGAATGTGAACTCTGCACCACGTGGCCCGCGGTACTATCAGTGAATACTCCGTTAAGCTTAGATGCAAGGGGTGAGACAAGTAGATACCTGCGCTCGTGGACATACTTGTTGCGACGCCCTTCACTTCCGGGTCGTCTGGATAAACCGACCATGGCCTCCGCAATTTGTCGTACGCACGCACGCCGTTTTATACGTGCGTGACGAGGAAACTATTCGTAACATTCGTTCGAGCTTCAAAGTGGTTTATTGGATATCACATGATAATAACTCTGAGCGACGCCAAACTCGCTGCGGGAAAGTTTGCGATTGATTTATGTTGTGTCTTGTTGCTTTCACCGTTCCACGGATCGAAATATCGTCTACGCTTGCAGTCCGCTAACTTCTTGCGCGTGCGGATTATGCGGTATTTCGGTCTCGCAAAACTCACGCCAAGTAATTATTATGCAGTTTTAGTAGATTGTTCTGACACTCCCGATAAGGAAATGATGCATGCGCAAAGGCGTTGGCGAAGTATCTGGTATTGTTACTAAAACCATAGAAACAATCCTAACGCAGCCTAATAAAAAGTTACCACACACAAAAAAATATATAAGCTATTTTTGCTAGCGCACATTCCTAGCGAAAAAAAAAAAAGCTCTTGATCATCGGTCAACAGTTTCGCGGTTCCGCCGACTGTTCTTCACTGGCAGACGATCCGGAAGTGCAGAGTGGTGCAACGATCGCAAAGCGCAACCGCAATCTCAACCGCAAAGCGCAACCGCAATCTCAACCGCAAAGCGCCTTTGTATACTTCACGGAGCAATCGACAGGGGGCACTGATAGTACCAATGCCACGCGAAGCGGTGTTCACAATCATATTGACCGTAATGGTACGTCCTGAAGACATCCGTGGAACGTTAACACATCTCGAGCAAGTCTGTAGAACCACGTCCCTTCGTCCCTGTCGTTCTGTGTTTTGTCCCTTGTCCGTATCCCCAGTCTCGGGTTACAACTATGCTCAAGTTACACCAGCTAGCCTGCACCCTCACCATTGCTTCATAACCATATGTGCTTCCAGGGTCAGCTCAGCAGTGACCTCGGGTCGGCCGGGCCGGTCGTTGCCTGACCTGACCAGAGGAAAATTGGCTACTCCTTCGCCCGGGGGGGGGGGGGGGGGGGGAAGGGGGAAGGAAGGGGGAGGGGAGAAGACGCGAGGTGTGATGCTTTTAGTTCGTTTGCCCGATCCCCCAAAGTTCATCCTTATCCCGCACCGCTAGGTGATAGTTACAAAATTGCAGAGGGGACGCAAATTGGCTTAGAGGGGCGAAGGGATGAGTCATACTTTTGGTTTTTAGTCTCAAGGCAAGGTGGCGCAAACTACCGCCCGATATAAAAGGTACAACCGTTGGCATCCATCCATCCTATCCGTCCTCTGATTAAAGCCCGGTTGTTTGCGAATTTGTGCCAGCTGAATGCGTCCTCTGAGGCATCACCTGTATCTGGGACTTGCGCATCCCGTTGGCTGGCTCGTTGATGGGTATCTTGATGGTCTCCTCATAGTTGCTGACCACGATGGACCTCAGCGAAGAGTAGTTGGTGTGAATTTGTTTGTCGTCCACAGACCAGAAGCGATGGAACATCAGGTTTTTCTCGTACCTGTAACCATTAGAAGCGGATGTATAACATACAAGTTTGCTGGCAGTCACTCTTCAAAAGGTAGTCTTGCTAGCGTGAGTCGAAAACACTTTGTTGAAGCACCAGTCAGGTCGCCGTGGAACACTTTAACAAGGCTTGGCAATCAGACGATTTACACACAACTGGAGCAAGACGGCGGTACCCTGATGCCGTACTTGCAGAAGAGTACTTTACATGTTTCCGTTTTTCAGAGACGCTCTATCCTCCAAAATTTGTGTAAAAATGCGGATCTCTATAAAGTTGCCATGGATACGATAAAGGCTCTGGGCATTTCTGAAGGGTCTCGCACACAAAAGACGAACAATTCAATTTATTATCGCTCTCAATTTTGGTGCGGCGATAACAAAGGCATTTGATATTTTTGGCCGGTCACAGCGATGTGCAGACCAATCAGTTCACTGGCATGAATGTTGTACCCTGACTTACCATTGAGCTGCCGGGACCATCTCTAAGTCAGGCTGATTAAGGACGCAGTGATCGATGAAGTTGAGGCCTACGTGAGAACTGGAGAAAAAAGCATAGATAATTTTTGTTTGTGTGTGTCCACGCTATTTCCAACAAGGCTTCATGCATTGTGCGTTCTTCGACGGGAAACCAGGCGAGCTATAATTTTTTTCACCATAAAGGCCGGTTCACACATACAGCGAAGCGCTAAGTTAGCGCTACGTGAGCGCTCGAAGGAGCGCTCATGTGGCGCTTCCTAGCGCGTGATGTAGCGCGCTCGGTTAGCGCTTCAGTAGCGCTCTGTTAGCGCTTCAGAAGCGCTCTGTTAGCGCTACAGAAGCGCTTTGTTAGCGCTCTCACGCTGCTTGTGCCGTGCTTGCTGCTGCGGAACAGCGCGTGCACGGCGATTCCTTTGTTGTTGTTTTTCCTTTGGCATTTAAAGAAGAGGAAGTAAAACAGCCGCTCTCCAAGCAAAGGGTCGGGCAGGCGACCCAGAGTCATGAACTTTGAGGGACTAATTGATTGGGTACTACCTTATCGCTTTCTATTCGATATGCGTGACCCTGGTTTCAAAGACACGCAGTTAAAAATAACCGCCTTCGAAAGAGCGCTCTGTGTCTCGGTCCCTCAGCCTAGGAAAAAAGTTCACCAGGTACCCGTCGGTATCTCGGTGGCGAAAGATTTCGGGCACCCAGAAGGCTCTTCTGGGCGTTCAGCCGTCCACACACATATGCACTAATCGCGTATGTAAGAGCATTTGTCGCATTTCTATATCAGCATCCCACATGTCCGCCATGGTGCTGCTGATGCACACCAAACCACAGGAACCGGAACCGCAGTGCACGCGCTAATCCGCAGCACCGCGGTACAAGAAGCGCTACTGAAGCGCTAACACGGCGCTACTGAAGCGCTAACAAGGCACTACATGGAGCGCTAACAAGGCGCTATTGGAGCGCTAACAAGGCGCTACAGAAGCGCTAATCACGCGCTGTGTCGGAACTAAGTCACGCGCCAGGAAGCGCCACATGAGCGCTCCTTGGAGTGCTCACGTAGCGCTAACTTAGCGCTCCGCTGTATGTGTGAACAGGCCTTAAGAGTGCAGCCAAGGGCTAAAAGACGCCAAACACGGACAAGCGTACTAAACTCGGAAGATCATGGTGTACATCCCCTTGCTGTCGTGAAGTCAGAACTTGAGGTGGTCTCACAATAGCGACAAAGAACATTACTTGGTGGGTCTAATACGCCCTGCTAACATTTTTTTTTTAGCATAAACGTCACCAACTGGGTAGAGGAGCATGTTTACGAGTAAGTGACACCTTAGCAAAACGGCAGTGATCAAGCGGCCGTGGCCCCGATCACCGAGAAACAATCTTTCTTTTGTCGGCAGCCAAACTCGGTGTTTTCCGCACTCGGGATATTAAATGCACAATGCGAGACAACGAAAAGAAGTAAGCATACGATGGTTAAAAGCTCGAATGCCGAAAACGTCTTTGAGACATTTCGAGAGCAGCTCAGGGCGTTGTCGATGCCTACCAATAACGCACTCGCTTACAGTTTTTCGTAGCTCCTGTCCTTGGACGGATGCTTCTTGTAGCCGGGCAGGAACAGGCCGTTGTAGTTGCCTCGCTCCACGAAAGTGTGGGTCGTGTCTCCGCACTACAAATAGCGTGTCGTTTGTCAATACATAAAAAAAAAATCCGAGTCATTTGAAGGGGGAAGCGGTTCTAATAATCAATTCTTTGACACTTTTTGTTGTAAATTGCACCAGTTATACGATGTGGCAGTCGTCATATGCTTGATGTATAAATGCTGTGAACAATTTATTTCCTGTGTGAATTCCGCTTAGAATGAATTACTGACGGTTGTTAGCTACAGAAAACGCGTTAGTTTATCTCTCCACGCAATGGCAGTCGCAATAAAAAAATAGGAATAAAAGGAAAAACCTGCACCTTTCAACTCTTCTAGCTAGCTTCCAGAACAAGTGACCACATGATCTGGTGCCTATCATGTTACTTACTGGGGTTGGCAAAGCTCAGCGAATGTGCCGAGCTCCAGGCATTGATGTAGAGTTCGGCTATTCAATTACCGCAGCGATTCGACACACGGTCCAACTCAAATCTCTTTGCATGAAAGCATACTCTTGCAGCACTTTAGTCGAAATGCTCGTACAAAGCTGTAACATTTGTCCGTTACAAAAAGAAATATCTGGTAATATGCAAAAATTCTAGGTATATCCAGTTATAAGTATATCCCTGTGACGGAAACCGACCAAATCATATCGGCGCTTCGTTGTAAGCATATTGGTCGCTTATTTGCAGTGGTGAGCTGATGATTGACACGTTAGTGGAAATATGATGACCCCATGTTTGACGAATGTAAGTGTGAGTTTGATGGCTGCATGTATTCGCGACTCCAACTGTTTATAGGTAGCGCCACTCGTTTTCCAAAATGGCGGTTAAAGTGAGGGTCGGATAGGCGTGCTGGTATAACAGTTGCTAAACCGGTCTAGTGTGTTGGCTTCACTGAGTAACACAAATTATCCCCGCTTATACGAGGAAGCCAGGGTGTTAGGCCCACAGGTCACCTCTTTACACTGATAACAAAAACGGTGGTTAGTGTGATACTTACGCCAGGAGGCTTGTTTTAATTCAGCAACGAAACCGAAACTAACTTCTATTTTAGATTGAATTTCTCGATGTAGGTGTTAATTTCGGTTTTTCTTCTAATGCAAGGTCTGTCTCACAGCGTAATTATTAAGCTAAAGAAATGGTTCGAATAAACTTTACGTTGTGATATACGAGCCCGATCCAGACACTTTAACAAGAGGGTCTTTCATACACCTGAAAGGTATCAGAATGTTTCATTTGTTGAAAAAATAAGCGCTGACATTTCAGTGTTCTTGCTGCTTTTTCTCACTCAGGTAATTGCCATGTAAAATAATGAACTGCGGGCCCTTTGACGGGTTTTTGGACAGTTAGAAAATCTTTTGCTTTAGTATTTATTCTAAGCACAAGAATAACAAAATAAATCCAAATTTTACCAAATATCGCTACGGGTGATGAATTTAGAACAGGACAGTTAGAAAATCTTTTGCTTTAGTATTTATTCTAAGCACAAGAATAACAAAATAAATCCAAATTTTACCAAATATCGCTACGGGTGATGAATTTAGAACAGGACAGTTAGAAAATCTTTTGCTTTAGTATTTATTCTAAGCACAAGAATAACAAAATAAATCCAAATTTTACCAAATATCGCTACGGGTGATGAATTTAGAACAGGACAGTTAGAAAATCTTTTGCTTTAGTATTTATTCTAAGCACAAGAATAACAAAATAAATCCAAATTTTACCAAATATCGCTACGGGTGATGAATTTAGAACAGGTTCCCAAAACGTATAAATTAAGAAACGCTGTTCTTGCTACAAAAACCTAAAAACGGAATCAGTGTTTTACAACAAAAGTGTGTGTGTTTTTTTAAGAAAACACGTGACTCATACGTGTTTGTCCGTCCCTTCTCGTCCCGGCCTCGCGGTTTTTTAGTCAAATATTCATCCAGTGTTTATGTCTATCTTAATAACGATGCCAGTTTTTAATATGCTAAAAAAGAATCCAGTGATACTTTTCTGTAAAAATTATGGTTAAATGGCGTATTATTTTGATTGTGGTGTGGCCTACATTACCGCAATTTGTATTAATTATGATACAATTAAGATGTTTGAATACATAGTTTTTCAAGCTCTAATATAATGTGTTACTCATGCTCTAATTTCAAACGTGCAAACAACTTTGGCAATCCAAGGTTTGAAAATTATCAGCACGGGTGCCAATTGCAGCATTTTTAATTAACAAGCTAGAAAATAAAAAAAAAATTGCCTAAAATAAATGAAAACAGTTTTGCTAGTCTGGAAAATCCGTGCAAAAGGGAAATAATTGTGAGTAAAAAATATGGTGCTATCAAAATCGTGACTTTTGACAATCGGCAAAACTTCCAAATTCACCACCAATCTTCCGGACCAAACGCCCAGAAATACAAAAAAAAAGAGATTCCATTTGTTTCTTTTAATTACAAATTGCTTCTCAGAACTTTTTTTTTTTTTTTTCATTTTTACGCAACGTCGTTTTGCCAATCTCTGCCTTTCCAATTCGAAAAAAAAAAAACGCCTACCTGCTTGCCCGTCTGCTGACTGCAGCACCTTTCGTTGGCGTTGGAAGACCGGTGAAACAGTAGCGAGTTTTATCATTGCGTATACGAGCGAACGCCAGCACTGTGCATTTGCGTTAACGTTGCGTCTTCCCCACTGCGCGTGCGCGGAGTCCAAAAGTGCGGTCTTCGATTGGCGCATGGCGACGGCGCGCATGCCGCAGCGGGGAACACGCAACTGTAACTCAAACGCACGGCGCTTGCGTTTGGTGTTATATGCAATACTAAAACTCTCCAGATAGTAAGGCACAAGTCCACGCCGGCTGCAGCACTACGTTGCGACCGTGGAGAGTGTTGTTTGCATTCCGAAATGCCATTTCGCGAGACATAATCGCGAGTAGTTCCGCCGTGCCCGCTGAGCAGGAGAACCGGGGGACCCTCACTAGAGCGGTTCCCGTTTCCGCCGCGAGAGGGCGAGCAACGACCTGGAGACGCGAATAGCGAGCATGAGCATGACGGCAAGATACAGGAACCGTAATCGTTCCACCATGACGATGAGAATTCGTGATGGATCTTGATTGAAGTATATAAGCTACCTGTTTGTTTCCGCTAACATTTTCCGTTAGGGATGGCATGTACCGACCAGATTTACCGTTATGGCAAGTATACTGCCGGATGTAACTTCTGTTTAAACCCAGTTATTATAAAGTTTTAGTATTGCGTGTAGAAGCAAACGCGAGCACTGTGTGTATGCGTTGCCGTTGCGTACTCCACACTGCGCATGCGCGTCGTCGCTGTGCGCCGATCTAAGACGCAGTTTCGTCTCCCGCGCAACGCTAATAATGCACACTGCTTGTTTTTGCTCCTATAGGCGATACTAAACCTCGGTATTACCTCATAACCCCTTTCTAAAAAGTTGGAAGAAAAAAAAGAAAGGAACTTACAGTTTGGACCGTCGCGAACCGGACTTTTCCGCAGTCGTCAGACTCCTCCCATATGTCACGAACGATAGCAGCACCACGCTCCTTTGCCCTCTGTTTGGGAGAAAGCAACGCACTGTCATGAGAGAGTTTTAGGGAACCGTTTTTGCACGTCCAATACGGTATACGATGGGCACTCCGGTATACGCAGTTTGCACCGGAGGGCCCATTGTATACCGCATCGGAAGTGCAAAAACGGTTTCCTAATACTCTCCATTGTTTCGTACTGAGCCCCAAATGCGCATTACAATTTTAATATTTTTGGAGGAAAAGGGGGGGGGGGAGAGAAGGGAAAGACGCTAAACGTGTACCGAGGTACACATCCTTCCAGCGCGTATCACGAGGTGAAAACTGTCGGGACACTGGGATGTGGACCCATGCACCTCGGTGTGATATTCGGCAGGCGACAGCTACCGTGCATGATCCAAACGCCTTTCACAGCCCAGTAGAACATGGCAGCACCCAGAAGGCGATTCTGCAGAATATCACATCTTGATGCACGCATCCATAGCCAAGTGATTCGGCCGTTTTCACTTAAGTGTTAAGTGCTGGAGGGGTGTTTAGACTTCTCTGTTGTTTGTTGGTTAGCTTGAGCTTCATCCAGGCTTGAGTTCTCATTTTGAATGACAGTTTTAAGAGTGCCTTAGTTCTTCTTCAAGTCCCCACCACTGGTCGCAATGTTGGTCGGTTACGGCGAACGTTTTAGTCCGTAACGGATTAACTACGGCTGTAGGATAACATGTTCGGTTGGAAGTTTGCGTTGGGCTTGAAACTCGAGTTTGCTGGCAGAGACATCACTTTGACTTGTTGTTGAATTAAAGCTTAAAGCGGGTAAGGCTTCAAGTTACTAGACGGTAGAACAACAAATAGACTCGAGCAGCTGTACGTAGTGCATTTTCGCAATGCTGTTTCAGCTCGTTTTTAGGTGGCTTATTCACTGGACGCCATTTTCGAGCGCTTCATTCACGGCGCATGCAAGCAAAACTTTCTCGAGCATGTTTGCCGAGGAACTCGTAGTAAGTATTGTGAGTTTCGATTCAACAGCAATTAACCACCAAAAAAGCCGATTCCCTAAGTCCACAAGGACTGTAGGACGCTAGTTCTGCCGTGCCTACTCACCTTGACAATGGTGTCCAAATCTTCGACGCTGAACGCGATGTCCTTCACTCCGTCACCGTGCTTCACCAGGTGAGGACCCATCTCTGTTCGAGTGAATAGGTTACAAATACTGCGATAAGCATACTGACCAATGTTTGACAGGCGTTTTAAGAAGTACTTAGTTGGTGTCACGTCGCAATGAAAGGGGCTACCTTTAAGGCTTTTGGTCTGCGGTATTTGCATTTGCAGTTATCATCGCAGCTCGGAGAACTTGAAGCGAAAGAACCTCCCGCAAACAAGAAAGGGGAAGAGGCGAGGAGGACATTCGTGTTGTATCGCGCCTGGCAGATGAGTGCTATGTCCGCTGAAATGATGTGTTCAAACATCTCGCGTCATAAGATGCTTGAAGTCACATAGCTAACCATTTGATGTCTTTTTTCGAAAGTAATGGTACATTAGGTAATAACTAGTACGGTTTCCGACGAGGTTACTCGACTCAGCTACTGCATTGATAGAGGGGGGCAGATTGATATGGTATCGCGTCAGAACCTACCATTTAAGCCTAACATTGTCCTTTACAATAGCCCAATAATTAGGTAAATAGAAGCTTACCTTTACAAAAGAGAACAAAGGGATCAAATTAAGGAAGAAAAATCGCGACCTTGCTTTTTGGTTTCTGGGGTTCCTCAGGGTTCGGTGCTTCGGCCTGTACTTTTTTATTTTGTTCATGTGTAAAACTTTCGAAGATACTGTATGTGTTAAGATCTTCGCAGAGGGCACAGTTATTTATAGCGAAATTGCTATTAGTTCAGACAAGGTAAATTTAAATAAACATTTGAAAAAAAAAAACGGTGTAATGTTTGGAAAATGACATTGAAAACTAATAAGATAGTGTTCATGACAATCACTAAAAAGCAAACCCCTTTGAAATTATGTTATCACATTGGAGATGATCTGCTTAAATATATGTAACAGAATATACACGACATCATTTCTGTTGCGTCACGGCGCGGTGGTGGCGCGTCGAGCGCACTTTCGGTCTGGGGCTTTGGGCGGAAGTCACCATGTGAGACGTGCATTTCTGCGTTGTTTTGAAAAAAACCAGACAAAAACCTGCCTTCTCGTCAAAACGCCGCGATTGAGGCTGTACCAAAAGAGTCGGAAGTCAGTTGTCACGTGCTCGGTTCGTCCGAGAATGTGGATATGTGCCGTGAAAAGGGAAAAGCAGACGCCGTCGGACCATGATTGCTTGGGCGGGAAGCACTTTGGGTAGAATTCACGAATACTTGTGGTCATCAGATTTATTTGTTTTGCTCCAACATGAACGCTGGAAAACCGTCAAGTTGTACGGATCACCTGTGGACTACGTTCAGTGCGTCTTCAAGTTCAAACGGCCGCCTGGTCGTTCGAACTGTCGTCTGCTTTTTCAAACGTTTCTGCTCGTCGTCTGCTCTCTCAGACGACACCGGCCCGCAGACCAAACGGTGGCCCGGTAATTGCGATAAGAAGTGAGTGCAGGCCTCAAAGGACTTTTTATGTTTGAAGGTTGGTTGGGCTAAGCAGGCTCGGTGAAAGCAGCAGATACAAGGAGGTGTTGATCATTGTTACCAGAGGCCATAACCGATCACCGACTTGTTATGCCCGATTCACTCGGTCAGATTCTGCGCGCGATTTTCAGTATCGACGTCGACCATCTCAGCTACGGTTCACGCTTTTGCAGCCCGACCGACGTCGCGACTGAAAATTGCGAGCGGAATTATCATCATGCGAATGAGACTTTAGCGTCCATTTTGCGGCGTTCACGCGGAATGAATCGCCACATGTCACATTATTAGCCGTGTAACAAGCCTCGGTAATTTCGTTGAGGCCGCTCAAGTAGTCAGACATTGCCAGGAAAAGATAGAATCAACAATTCCAACCCGAAAAAGAGCACGTGGACTCACACCGACGCCGACAATATCGCATTTCAGTTGTTTATGGTCGACGGCTATCTTCTTGCCCACACTCCATCGCGCATGCGCGGCGCCGCTGGCGTTTGCCATGGGACGCTCCGGTTTGTTTGTAAACATGAGTTGGTCTATAAGCTCCTCGGATTCTTTTTGGTCTGAATCTTTCGTGTAACCTTTCATGTTGATCGAATATGCAAAACGGCCATGCAACGGACACTACGGAGAACCTTAAGAAACACATCACCTGAAGTGAAAAATTACTGCATTTAGAAGTGCGATTTACATGTTATGGATTATGCCAGCCCAGTGTGGGAACCTTATACGCAATTACACATGGCCACCACTTCAGAGAATAAAAAAAGGAAAAAGGCACTTGGATTTACTTAAAACGACTACCACATCATCGCTGAAGTGCGATATATAGCTGTTTTTTTTAATTCAAACGCCTATGATAATAAATCGGTTAAATGTTTATCTTCAATTATTAATGGGTTCATAGAAAATTACCAAAACGATATATATATATAAAATGTTCGAGCCTCATAATTGTTGAAAATAAACATAACAGGCATATTGACCCATACATATACTTCACGGATGGTTTTAAGTTCTCGTTTTTTGTAAGATCTACAGATGATTGAATAGCCTACCTGAAACATTTGTCAACAGTGCAAGTGTACATCTGTTTGTAAAAACACCTTGCCTCAAATTTGATATCCTAATTAATGTCTGCATTGTCATAAGTGTTCTTCCTCAAATGCACCCTCTCCTGCCTTGGCCACTCTGTTAACTGGCAGTACAAAAAAAAATTAATAAATAAATAAACAGTACGCGCGCGCCGTATCAATGGCGATTTCTTGTAATCGTGCGCGATCTTTCGCTGTGCAAGGCACGAATACTTTGTCCGGTAAAGGTGTCTTTTAGAAAACCAATAAATTACATTGTCATTCGTTTTATGAATATAATCCGCACAATATCCTAATTTTTAATCCACCACCGAACAAGTATTTCAATTTTAAACAGGACTCTACTATTGAGATTGCACCCGCAAAACACACACAGCGTTTTCGTTGGCAACAACGGAACTTCTGGGGTAACATAATCATGCAAAGAGGACGACAGCTCTTGACTGCTGTCCCGGTAAAATAACCTATTTCTAAGAACAACAAGATTTACGGCATTGAGAGAAGCTCAGTTCTTCGACCATGATCATTGTACGCACCATCAACCATGTCGGTCAAAACCGGGAACAAGTCAACGCCCGCGACTCTGACCTTACCGTGACTGATGTAACGTCACGATACTACCAGCCACGCATACTTGCAAAATTTGGCGTGTAGTTTTGCACTGATGTTCAAAATCGATTTCACAAAAATTGAGGCGCGTTTTAGTAAAATAAATAACACATCTGACTATATTTAAACCATCTGTGCGTGACCAGCGGAAATTTTTTTTAGTAACTTCCGGAAATCACCGTACAGTCCCTTTAAACAAGGATGAGTTTCAGATGGGTATGTTCAATTGAAACAAACATATTGATAATAGAAAAGTCCACGCACCCGTGTCTCCGGGAAGCAGGGCCGAAGCGAACACGAAGATGATCTTGTTCTGTTGCACCACGTGGGCGGCCATGTTACGGGAACCTGTCTCCAGACCCTTGTAGCACATGTACTCGAAACCCATCTTGGTGCAGTAGTGGGCAGCGGCCTGCGATCATTTAAAAGGCCATCAGGGTCAGTGAACATGGAGGAGACCGGAGAACGATCCACGTAGCCTGTCAAAGACAAACATTTTCAGCGATCTTTAACTTTAATATTTTCTGATGCATGCAATCCAGTATGTAAGGAGCGATCGTCTAGATTCGTTTAGAAGACGTTAACCGTCAAGCGACGTCTCTGGTGTCAGGTCGGGATGTCTTTTCACACCATGACACCAAGTTACCTGACGTCACGTGATGTGGTCAAGAGACGTCACGCGGACTGAGGTTACGCGACATGGTCACGTGACATCGTGTCTCGTGACGTCAAGTTACGTGATTTCATGTGCCATAGGGTATGCACAGGGGATACATTTTTGGGAATAGGGCTTTCATTATATTTATAAATCATTTCATGCTCTAAAAGTGTCCCGTTAGCGACAAAATTTTCTAATTGTAAATTTATCGTTTATTGGGGTATTCGTAGATGTTATCGGTAATAGGAGGTTAAATATTTTATGATTGATAGGTAGCTTTCAGAAGCCACTTGATGCTGTAAATAATACCATGTACGAGATGTATAACGGCTTAATTGTCAGTGTGGTAGCTATATAGGTAGTCTTTTGATACCATGAGTTATCAACTTAAAGTTTATAAGACTTTGTCACTGACTATTAAAGTTTTGAAGAAAAAAATGACTGCAGCTACTTGGCTTGGTAGTATTAAACTTTCTTAATTGTTGTCAGCTATACATCTAGGAAACCGCTGACGATATTACCAAAGTCTGGGTAGAGAAATGACAGCTTTCTATTTGCCAATTTAGATTTCAGAGAGCCTTTTGTTGATGTCAGTGATGTCAGGTTCAAGATCTTTAAATGTTGGACCATATTTAATAATAACTAAGTTTTGAATACGAATATGGCTATCTTGTCTGCTTATGATTCCAACTCTCCCATTGTAAATTATAATTTTATAAACTGGCTCCTTGGGTCGCATCTCTAAGTCAAGTTAGAGATGTTTTAAGACTGGTAATTGATAATTAAGGTACGTCGTCAGGCACCGTTAGAGGCATCAATACATGGCTTGCACTGACGTCACATTGCGTACTTTTGGTCACCATGAGAAAGACAGAGAGAGAGGGAAGCTGCTTTTGTAGGAATTTTGAGTGATGGGTTAATCTTTTGTATTCTTATGGGGGGGAGAACGGCGACGCCTGGGCAGATATGGGAGACACAAAAGCAGGTGTTGGTAAGAGGGGAGCTCCTTTTTCCCCTTTTCTTTGGTGGCTTTCAGAGGGCTCTCTGAATAATGTCACGTGCAAGCCATTTATAATGTTCGGAAGGAGCTTGTAACTCTATAAATTTACAAGAAAACTTTTGCTAGCCCTTTATTCGATCGATTATTTATAGCCCATCCATGCTATTAGTAATGTCGTTCTAAGCAGCTTGTAAACCTTCAACATGGCTAAGGTTATGCAAAAACGCTTCATTAATGCTCGTTATAATTTTGTGAATTATTGCAGAAATCAGAATTGCACGCTTAGAGAGTTTATGAAGGCCCCTATTGTAAGTCAGTATATTATGGGCCGTTGATGCCATCAACTATTTGAGGCTCGAGAATTCCTATAAATGCGAAATCTATAACCAGAGAGCCTCGGGGTACCATTGACTATACTCAGTCAGTTTTATAGACGTTACTTCGAAAGAAGTAACCGATTAAAATTACTCTTCTTCAAGATTATTCAATTAGATTACTTGATTACCTGAGAAGAAACGTAATTGGCCATCACTTGAAAAAGTTACCGTTACTTTTCCGATTACTTCAGATTTTCAGAACGACAGGTTTTTCTGAATTTCAGACAGTGCGCAGTCTGCCTGTTTTGAAAAAGGGTCTTTCGCGCTGTCCATTATTCGATTAGTGCAAGTGTCGTGTGCTTCTTTCACAGAGGTTGCGATGATGTCAGTACGCCAAACTATTATTGGCTGGTTGAAAAAAAATAGTGGGTAGATTTTAAGGCATCTAACATTCAGGTCTACCTACTAAGCTTTCAAGCAAAGCCAATCAGAGCTCCGCGTCGTTCTGTCGTGACCGCAACGCCTGGGCAAGAAGCAGACGAACTTGCTATCCGAATGAACTACTTATTTTCCTAATCCACCAATTTTAGAAAGTCACCCTCCGCTCGGAGACCTGGTTCGAGGATTAGGAAACTTGTACAAAAATGGGCGCCATGAGGAAGCAGAGGAAAAGAAAAAGAGTAGCGGATACGTGCAATTTTAGCGCTTCCAAAAGTAATGAAATCACTCTTGCGATTACTTTATACTAAATGTGATAAATTAATACAAAAGTAGTCCGAAGAGTAGTAAATTACTAGTAATTTTATTATCCTTGTAATGTGATACCAGAGACGTCTGTACTCAGCTTCACGTTTTTGATGCACCGCAGCGGACGCAACAAGCCATCCCAGCCAGGCCGGAAACTTCGAACAGATGACGTGACTACGCGTCCTTCCCGAAGGTCATGTGCCAGTCACACGTAATGGTTGGCTTTTATTCCTCGTAGCGTGCTTTGCGGCCCAACGTAACGTGAAATAAGTTATAGTGAAAACTTTTCGCTGGACAACTCGCAAGTAAATCCTGCCTCGGAAAGTTTCAAGGTCCCCGAACCTTTCCGTGTTCACTGAACCCCGGCATGCGGTTCTCACCTGCTTGGCGTTGCCAACCCAGAAGGTGATGTGGTCGAAGGCCAAAAAACGGCCTCCCTCGGGCTTTGGGGAGAAACGTATAATACATGCACACATGATTGACAAGCCGAAGTACAACAATCGGTAGGGTACAGTTCAAAGCAGCATTTTTAGTATAAAACAGCACTATTCTACACGGATTTTTAAAAGGCACAAATTGATTCTGAAGTCTTTTTTTTTATGACAAAAACTTGGTTCTCGTGCCCTAAGCACCCTAGGAAATGATATGTCTCCAAACACCGAAGACCGCTGGAAGGCCTCTCCGAACTGCTGTAGCTGCTGCATGTGATTTCGGAGAGTAGCACCACTGTCGCGTTCATGACGTAAGAGTAATGTTTTTACTAAGAGCCATGTTCTTGACTTAGGAGTCATGTTCTTGACACCTGACTCAGGTCGCCGCGAAGAAAACCCAAAATGTACTGATAAACATTTGTATCAAAGTAAACATTTTTCAGTGTTTAAATACAATAAAATAAACATATTTCCTTATATTTAATGCAATAGAAATTGCAAAATGCTAAAAGCCTCTTAAGAACTATTTCAAATATAGTATTTCAAATACTGCCCATCCCCGTGTATTGTATTTTATAATCCGGTAAGATCCTCGGGCATAACGACATTCCTCCCGGAACAAAATATGAACGATAATACAAGTATGCATGTCCATTGTACGAATCCCGGACACAAGCTCACCGGATAACAGCTCACCGCTCTTGCTCGTGAACCCGGACAAAAGCTGACCCCGATAAAATTGTTTACTTTTTTGCATAAACTCAGATAACACAAGTAACCAGCGCATTCTATGAAAAATAATGTATGACTCGCGCAAGGTATGCTCTTTGTTTAAAAAAGGGTGTTGATTGCTCAAATCTTTTAAGGCGAATACAGCCTCCAACTGCCTCCGGCAGTTTCGGCATGTCTTTGTGGAGCTGATAGTTCACACGCAGCTTCCGGTTCTGAAGACGCTTTGTTGCCTTCCAACCCATCTTCACCGGGGTTCACCTTGGCGTGCTTGAAGCAAAGCTTTCGTGACCAATGCTTGATCACGTTAAAGTCATTGAATCAGCCTTTGGACTCTTGACTGGCCCTATCCCATAAGCTTGTGGAGCCCGTTGTTCTGCCCTTCACGCGAGTTGTTGCTCCTGCCCTCGTCCCTTAGCATGGCCACGTACACATCCCACACCGCTGGTGGAAATTCTGGTCTTTGTCGGAGCACGGTCATTGAGAGTTGTCCACTTGTAGGAAAATCCATTTTTGTACACGTTACTATACAAAAGTAGTGATTACAATTACAAGTCCTTTGCTTAATAATAATTCAGTTAGATTACTTGAGAAGAAAATTAATTAGAAGTTAGTTGAAAAGTAACCGCTACTTTTCCGTTCACTTCAGATCTTGAAAACGAGATTTTTCTGCCGGTTCAAAAACGATTCTTTCGTACTTTTTAATATTGGATTAGGATCCAATCTTAAATTACTCTACAAATCAATACATTACAAATAATTTAATTACGTTTAATGAGTACACTACAAGTCTGAAAACATTTCAGCACAACCTCTAAACATTTGACCTTGATTCTTAGTTAACCGGGTGAACTTACTTTCCAGAGGGTTGTTGATGTGACCCCATTTAGCCCCCCGTCTAGCCCGGCCCATTTTACCCCAAGTAAAATTTTCGTCCGGCTTATCAAAAAAGACAAGAGAGCTTCCGTCTGGGTCCGCCAAAGAATAAGTGAGGTTTTGTCCGGTTCCACCAGAAAATAGGTGAGATCTTATCCGGTGATCTTTTGTCCGGGGAGCTTTCGTCCGGTGATCTGTCCGGTTACACCATTGTGCGTACAACACGTCAGGCAGATCAGCAGGACTGAATGTCAAAGTGATGTCATGCAATCTTCTAAGTTCTATTTTCTATGTCTACTCCTTTTTAAATAAATACGAAAATTGTTCGCAGCATATCTGCTTCTGTAGGCGTTCAAAACTCCGGTTAAGTGAATCGTTAGCGTAGATGACACACACTTCCTTACATCCGCAATCTCTACGTATGGTCCCTCTCGCCATCCTCATTTAACAGCCTCTCTTAAACAAAACGAAGGAAAAACATCCTGGTCACTTGGATAATGAATGAGAACAGAAACAAAATATTTCGGTTAACCACTTGGGAAACTGGTTTTTGGAAAGAAACTCAGGCTATCTGGCGACTCCGTTGCATTCCTTCGGGGTGCAGCCACGGAGACAGGCAGACGGCTTTAAGAAAGTCCAGATAAACACCAGAGAAGAAGCCTGGCAAGATAGACGACGAGCTCTCCCATGGGATGTTATTGCTTCCGACTCAGTCACGTGGTATCGACGCGCTGCGTTTCAAGGTCAGCGCTTGGCTGCTGTCTCAAGCACCCAAAAAAAAATAGTAGAAAAATCTTGCAAAACTTCTTCGCTGGTGGTTTTCTTTGTCATTTGTGGGCACGTTCAGATTTTTTTTTCGGTTGTGAAATCTGTTCAGAGTTTCGAAAGAGACTTCGCCTGTTCGCTTGATTTCCGACGTTTGCGTAGTGGCACCTTCGTCGCAAAACCTATTGCAAAAAGTTCTGTTCTGCAAAAAAACAGGTCGTTGTGCCTTATTGTGCTTACTTGCCTGTGTAACTTCAGTGGCAATACATCGCATGTCCTAAACCACTTTGGGGGCAACTTTTTTTTCCAAAAATTGTACAGGGCTGTTTCATAAAGAAACATTTTTTTTAATATTACCCTTCGTGCAAAGGATGTCACAGAAAAGAACGGGTTTAAAAATATCTATATAGACATTTTTTTAGCATTTCACACATTTCAGAAAAGAAAAAAACCCCAAAACACAACAAAATTCTATAGCAGTTATCATGGCTCATCAGTGCCATAAAGTTATATCATTGCATTTTTAAAACTGTTAGCGTCAACAATTTGAGGCCCTGGTGTGGAAAGGTGATTGACTGTAATAGTACTCGTCATGATTGGTCCTATCGAGCTCATCACTAATTTACAGGCTCAAAGCCAAATAAATCTTCAAACAATGCGGTATGTTTACTTGAAATAGAAGGAACAGAATTAAAAGGGTTCTAACTCATATTCTCAGAAAGGATTACATGTGTATTTATCTCAATTTTTTACGAGATATCTAGGTTTCTATATAACAAAATATGACCTTCTAGAAATACGTTTCGTAAAAGTTGACGTTACCGTGTTGAAGTGCAAAAAAAGCTGAGAGTATTTACTTATATTTCAGAGAATGAAAATACAGGAGTCGAAAGAATAAAATACGAGATGTAAGAGAATAAAACACAAACAAACTTACGCAGTCGCTTTCATATCCAAAGAGATGATTAATTACGAAGTTTGTTTACGTATTTCAACGAGGCTGACGAAAGTTTGCCAGGACTTCCAACGTTCATGATAAGAAAATCGTCTGCCCCTCGCTTATCTCGGACGCGTCGTCTGCTCGGGTGAGTGTCCAATTTCGCCGCCTGTTCGCGCCCCTTAGACTGCAGTTGGCAGACGACTTTTCGCTGGGTGAACCAAGTATGTTTACGTGAATTCATTTCGCATAAGTTTATGTAGCGATCACTAATCTGAGAAAAGAATGGTAATTCAAGAGACAGGATAGAAAATTTAGTTTAAACACGATACGCCTCACCTTGGGTCCCTTGTCCGTGTAGGTCGTCTGCAAACACAAAATCAGATTTTTTTTTTATCGTTGCAAGAACCGTAATCTTGAGTGTTCTACTTTTAGTGGGAAAATTATCTGAACATGATGTAAGCTTTAAATTAGATGCAACCACTTCCAACTAACCGTTGACTCATAAGTGGCAATTCGCTTGTTGTTTGTCCGGGAGGGGGACAAAAAGCGTTCCTCACGCATTGCCGTTCAGCATGTTATTTCTTGGACAACAGTGTGCGTTTTGTGATAAAGACTGAATCGACGTCAAGCGGCAGTTTTTGCCCAGATGCGGAGATGTGCGAGGTAAAATATTTCTGGGTGCCGCCTTACATTGTTCAACTGAAATGCAAGAAAAAGAAAAGAAAAAAAAATCGCCCATACAACATTTGCGCAATACAAGTATCTACAGGCAATTTGTTCCGCCAATTTTCGAAGTGCGCACTTAAAGTTGGAGTTGAACGGGCCAGTCAATTTTTCTCTTAAAAAAAAAAAAGTACGTACTGCGCCGGCGATTTCACTGTAGTAATACCTTAAATTTCCAGCGTACAACTTTCTAGTAAGCTTACTTTATCTTTATATCTTTGCTATTTTAGTGCTTGGGGCCTATTGCAACTTGAACTCTAGCATGTAGTTTCAGAAACAAAATCTTACTATAACAGAAAACGCTCACTTAGAACAAACAAGGAGATACAAATAAAACCACACAAGCCCGATCAACCATTAGTGAAAATGCAGGAAAAGCTTCGGAACATTATGTGCGCATCTGCAGTTTCAAAGCATAACTAATAACACGATATTAAACATTTATGTGAAAAAAAATTATAGATATTTGAACGCGCCAAGGAGACAAAACCTTTCCGTCTCTAGCCTCGATAAGTGTAGGTTTTAAGTCTGTGATGGGATATATCCATAACTTGATTAAATATATATTTTAAAGCCGTAAACCTCGTTTCTGGTTATTATTAGTGTCTTGTATTAAAAACAAAATAAATATGTAATCATCGCTTATATGTCTCTTCTTCATTTGAGCGCTCCTGAAGAGCATAACATATAGTCGCAAGTGTAACAACTTAAATGTAAATAAAACCGCTGTACTCCCTTTCGTCGGAAATTTATCATCTCTGGACTATATTGCCCAGAAAGCTAGCGACACAATCATTGCTGTCCACAATAATATGAACTCCGTAGTGTTTGCACTATACTGTATACATTTCTGCCGAAGCGACAAAATAAAAGACGGTATTTGCTGAAAACGTATACATCGGTGCTTTACGGCGCATTCTGAAAGCTTGTAGATTTCGGAGATGATTAATATAGCGCTTACCATGTTCGAAAACCAGCTAGAGCTTCGGTGGTGTGATTTCGAGGGCGCGACGTCGGAATTCTCCGCCAAGTCGTCGGTTCTGCTGCGTGGCAAGAGAAGCGCCGAGGAAGGGTATTTTTTCTTCGAGGGAAAGGAGGAGCTCGAGATGCTATCGTCGTCTGCTAAACCGGCTTAACCTCCCGATTGGTCAATTACAGCTCCGTGACGTCGGAACTCCCCTCAGGGTGTCTCGGAGCGCCAACGATCTCCGAGAGCGACGCTCGCTTTATTTTTATTTATACTTTGTTCGTCGTTTGTCTCGAATTTTTGTGGCGAAGATTTGGGACGTGATCCTGGCTACACTCCGTTTCAACCTTACGTCCAAGCGCAGCGGATGTTACGAGCCATCGGAGCCAATCCAAGGCCGTGTGCGGGTCACGTGACCTTAGAGAGGGGGCATAGTGGCGCGCGGAAAGCCTATCACGGGCTACGTCCACAGAACGGGATGGGCTAGGACAGCTCGTAGCGTCCGCTGTGTCCAGACGTAAGCTGAAACGGAGTATAGTCGGAGGCTGCTTTTGGCGTTTCTTTGTTTGTTTTCGGATAAAGTCGGTTTCAGTAAAAGCCCTTATCGCGACCCACCACGGTTGTCGTGATTATGACTCTCGTATGTCGGCGTGTCTGTGATGGCGTGGCAGCTGTGTTTTCCGCCTTCCGACCATGAAATGTGAACGAACAGTCTAAACAACCTACCGCAACTGTCTTACAAAACTCTCGGAGGCCTGTGCACGCTGCTGTGCCATTGCACACGGCCCGTACGGTTGTCTCCAATGCCTCCACCGTGCTTCGGTAGAGACGACGCTCGCCAACATTAAAATGGCGGCGCTCTCAGTGTTATCAGACCACCAAGCAATATTAGCATAAGGTCTATTCCGATCATGAGTATATATAGCGCAAAAACAACAAGGAAGGAAGGACGAAGGAGACAGGAAGGGCGCTAACTGACAACTGACATTTTAATACACTGTACAGACGTGTTCTGTTTCCTGCCGTTCTCAGTCACGTAGTATGCGGTGCGGGGCGAAAAAGTAATGAAACATTTCAACCTGGAATATGTGAGAGAATATAGGTGCGGCAAAGCAAGAATGTTTGACAATAATGCATTTTTCGTAAAACCTTCCAGCGGCGTGGAGAGATCCAAGACGATGTTTTACCGCATACCAGAAATGAAGAAATTCAAGACGACTGCGCCCTTGTGAAAAATGCGTATAGAGAAGGAGAAGAAAGAAGTTCCAGATGCTATCGATTAAAATAAATAAATAAATAGAAGAACGCCATCAAATGCGTCTGTTATACCCGTGGTTATATCTAATGAAATAAAATATATTATTAAGGAGAGTTTCTGTTCATATCTTTCAGTAGAAAGAAAACAGCAAGAAAAAGAAGGGAGGGACGAAAAATTGCAGGGAGCAATAATTTTGAAACAAAAAAGAAGAATGTCGAGGAACGCGATCACATATCGCAGATGGTAAAAAGACGAAGATCAAGTTTAAGACCAAAAATGAACATAAAACTTGCAGGCAGGCTACTTGTCGCCAAGTCGTGAAATTGAGGTAGTAAGGTTCTTTTTTTTTTTTTTTTTTGATAAGGCGATTGACTGATGCACAAAGTCCTACAAGACAAAATTGTTTGAGCTTCGTACAGCTCGCGTGTTCTTTTGGTCCTAAAACACCTTAGGATTTTGGTACGGTCGAACATTGCAGTGCACAGACGATCCCTTACGTCTATTGCAAAGTGGCCAGCTGGTGACGACCTCAAGGACAGGACATGTCCTCGTAAGCGGTCATTGATGCATCGTCCTGTTTGTCCCACATACATTTTGTCGCGGGTGAGAGGAATTTCATACACCACCCCTCTTTGGCAGTCGGCGTATTGTTACTGATGTTTCACTTTGCACTCAGCTTGCTGTGGTTGGAGATTGTTGATTCTCGGACACAACCGCTTGAGTTTGTCCGGTGCAAAAAGTGCCACTTGAACTTCATATTTAGACGCGATATTTTTAAGTTGCGTGGGATTCGATGTATGCACGGCAGCACTGCTGGTCGGTTGTTCCTTTCTCGTGTACGCTCCCATTGTCCGCTGTTGGTGAATAATGATTGAACGACTTCAAACAATACCAAACTCGGGAACCCAGATGCCTCGAGGCGCTGCACTTAAGCTTGAAAACTATCAACCGCTGAATGTGTACACGACTCTTTTAAGGCTGCACTCATTGTGCTTTTCACAATTCCTCTCTTGATGATTTTTGAGTGCGCTAAGTCAAATTGCAGCAGGATTTTTTTTATTTTTTTTTTTGGTTCTTAGTGAGCACTTTCAGCAAGTGTGCTTGTCTTTGAACATCAGTTGGGGATCTAAAAATCGAAGACTTAAATTTGTTGGAGACTCATGAATAAAATTAAGCCCTTGCCCTTCAAAAAAAAAAAAAAAAAAAAGGGTGTGGGGAGGGGGAATTTGATGATGTTGATTGTCTGAGCTTCATTGTTCATGGGTCTTTTTGATAGAAGCACTACATAATCGTCTGCGTATCTGAAAATGTGTGAAACTTGCTCGTTGGAAAGTGCAGTAACGATGGCCCGATCACATTGTGATAGGTAGATGTCACAGAGGACTGGGGCCACGCAAGACCCTATACATCTAGATATATTTATAAGAATAAACGGCACCGCGTTTAAACAGATAAAGATAGCGCGCGATACATCGTTTCAGCCTTTCATTAGGGCTCCGTGTTCTTTTTTGACGCTGCCTTTGTCTTGTTGTTCTTGCTTGCGTGGTGTCGCCACGGTTTTCAACGAAGCGCTATTTGGTGCTCGTCTTTGACACCGTCATAAATAACTAAATGCGCAGAATATTTAGGAAGCTACGGTTTTAGGTATCCTAACCAGTCGCAGGGTCTTGTCGGCAACCGCTGCAAACAAACCTGCAAACAAATCTGCAAAAAAAGAAAAAAAAAGAAAAGACGTTTGCAATTTTCTGTAATGCCGAATCGGAGTGCAGCTTTTCAGAAGGAGGAGGAGGAGAGGGCACGGAGGGGACAGTATGCCCCTCCTTCTCATTTGTACCCTCTCCTCCTCCCTCCTCATCCACTCCTCCCGTGCTCCTCGCCTCCTCCCTCTCTTCCTCCTCCCTCCTCTTCCCTCCTCGGCCCCTCCTCCTCCTCCCTCTTTCTCATCCTCTCCTTCTCCTCCCCATCCTCCTCCTGCTATCCTCCATCTTCCTCCTCCCTCCTCCCCTTCTCCTTCCCCCTCCTCCGCCCTTCCCCCTGCCCCTCTTCCTCCCTCCCGCGCGGTGCATTATGAGAAACCTCCCAAAATGCAACGCGCGCGTCACCGCTGTGCAATATGGGACGTTTCCCATAATGCACCGCGCGGTTACTCTGACGCCGACGTCGCTCAAGCCGGAAACGGGTGCCTAAGAGCTGCGCTCTAAAATGAAAGACGTTTACAATTTTTTTTGTAACGCCGAATTAGAGCGCAGCTCCTGAGGAGGAGGGGGAGGTGGGGAGAAGAGGGAATTCCCCTCCTCCTTATCCATACTCTTCCCTAGTCCTCTCCTGCTGCCATCCTATTTAGCGGAGATTTTTCGCTAAATTTCCCGTTAAATTTAGAGGAAAAAATCTCCGCTAAATTTAGCGGAAAATGTTCCCGATAAGTTTAGCGGGCACGTTTTTCGCTAAGTTTAGTGGGGATTCTTTTTCGCTAAATTTAGTGGGGAAAATTTTCCGCTAAAGTTAGCGGGGTTCTTTGCCGCTAAATTTAGCGGGAAATTTTTTCCACTAAATTTAGCGTGGAAATTTTTCCACAAAATTTAGGGGGGAATTTTTTCGCTAAATTTTGCGGGGAATTTTACCCATAATGCAATGCGTGGTGATGTCACGAGTCACGTCACTCATGACCTTCGTGACGTCACACGTGCCGTCACGTGTGATGTCATTATGAGAAACGTCCCGTAATGCAAAGCGCGGTTATGCCGACGGCAACGCCGCAGAAGCCAGAAACGGGCACGACCAGATGTCAAAGAATTGAGTTTTAGTATTGCGTATACGAGCAACCGCAAGCACTGGGCGGTTGTGTTAGCGTAAGTGTGCCACACTGAGCGTGCACGTAGCCCCAGATTGTGTCCTGGGGCCCTGATCTACACCGTGGGACCCAGCGGGACCAAGAGACTGGGACATGGCCGCCTGCTGTGATTGGCCAGCTTCGTACCGCTGTGCGATCACAGCAGTAGGCGATGTCCCGGTCCCTCGGTCTCGCAGTGTAGATTAGAAATGATTATCTCTGTTCCCTTTCGTGCGTTGTACCATATATCCTACTCTATACTCACAAAGCCTGGCAGTTCGACGACGGAACCATATAGTACCGGGTCGCAAATTTAGAGCGCGAGGATCTGGTAGCACAGAGAATCAAAGAGACATTTCTCGGGGAACCTGGACGTCAGCGCACAGCTTTTGCAGCGGCGAGGACCCGAAAGATACTTGTTCGCTCGGGAGAGGTGTGTTTCGGCGTCTCGCCGCAGCGGGGCGCCAGTCACGTGACTCTCCTCTCATCCGTTGTCTGCCGCTCCACCTTTTCCATTTCGGCGGCCGCTTCTCGTGGCAATCTGTCAGGCTTTGTCGGTATGTAGACCTTTTTCACAAGGGCGTCGCCATCTTGAAATATCGTCACTTCCAGTATGGGCGAATACATTGCTTTGCCGTGGCCACGCCAATAGAATGCATTGAGGATATAAGCGTAACCGTCACTCATTCTAGTCTTGTCTCCCCTCTCTTTTTTTACTACGTGCAGATTGAAACGTTTTAATATTTTTTCGTCGCCCATACGGGATATGCCAAGGCCAAGATTCCGAGACATTCGCGCTAGTTTCAAGACTTCCCACCACGCGGCGCTCAAAGACCAACCTGCAGAATATTTTTCAACCAGAAAAAGTTCCCCTCGCCACACTTCCCATTTCCTCCTCTCCCACAGTTGACTTGACGGCGGGGAGACTCCTTTTGTTGCTGCATCTCGGGGCCAGATAAGCCAAGCTAAGCGCATAATGGGCGATTTGCGGCGGGAGGCACAGCGACCCCTTTCCTCCGGCGATACCAGAGAAGCGCCCGAAACCGAACTCTCCTTTCTG